GGAACGGAAAGTTGAGGGAAAGATGTTTACGGGTTAATTGCTCGGGCCACACCGAGCTTTATTCGGATGTTTTTCGGGCCTCTCTGCTGGAATCGGTCGTCTTCAACGTCCCATACGAAAATAACGCCTAGCCAACGAGTACATGTATGAGCTGACGCAAGTTTTTACTAGGTAATTTCAAAAGTTTAAACACTAGGGGAGGCAACTGCTAGACTTTGATTGTCGATTGTGAGCCAATTCCACACTCGTGACCGTGAAGCCGTGGACCCATAATACTCACCCTTGCCCCAGGATATTCTCAGCAAGTACTAAAACCCAGGTCTCCCCAAAGTTTCCCGACCTTCCAATCGTTCCGGAAACGAAACACTATTTCTTTTTGAAATAGCTCCTTGTTGGTTTTACATACACCCATAAAATTCACTTTGAAGTCTTCAGAGCTATATTCATCATTTAGGGGAGTGTACTGTAAAGTTATTATATATTATAACCCATCAAATATTTTTCTCGCGCGTGATTGGTCTAAACGCGTCACGTGACGCAGCCAAAACTGGGGAATAACTGGGGAATATCCGGGTGATATTCCCCAAGTGATATTCCCCAGTTTTGAAAATTTGCGTTTCACGTTCGCAGGTTCAGTTGTCGTCCCAAATAAATTGCTAAATTAAATAGGACTGATTGTTTTGAACAGACTAGAAATATTTTTGAACGCCAACATAATTATTTTGATGTTTAATAGCTTGGCCGACCGAGATCTTCCACGGCAAGCAAAGCGGCCTTGTGAAAACTGAATATTTGAAGGATAATAACTACAATAGCCTCCATTTGGCTTCAAAAATATGCTCGGATATTTGTCCTTGGACATTATCTGTTCCTCGAAGCTCACAGTTTTCCTCGAGCTTCGCTCTCGGAAAACTGTTCGCTTCTCGGAACAGATAATGTCCGCGGACAAATATCCGAGCATATTTCCTCGCCAAATGGAGGCTATTGTTTATTTATATAAGCTGTACGTGGGCTAAATATCTGTTATTTGTTCAAAAGGTTTTTTTTTTGGTGGGCTTCTTTTGGGGGAAATGGGGGAAGGGAGTTGCGTCTCAAACCTTTTTAGGCGTATATAAAAGAATAAAGCATAGTAAATAGATATCTATTTAAAAGTTGAAAATCCCTTTCATTAATTATCCTTGATGATGATCTAGAGCATAATAATTAATTATATGTTCTCTTCTGAGGTGGGTTAATACTGGGTACCAGTATACTGGTCTACCACTCAAGCCCTCTCTCCTCCAGCTGACCTGATGGTTAATTACATTCTCTGCTTTGTTTTCTCTTCAGATTTGTACTTCAAAACCATTGTAATATCAGGCAGCACTTGTGATGTCAGGAGAATAAATTAAATTGATATTGGTTTGAAATAATTTATAATCTATATAATATATAAAATTGTTTGTTTTACTAATTCAGAGGGTGATACTTGATTTTGTGGCCAGAAAAAAAAGGACCAAATAAATATTTGAAGAAATATTTTTGAAATGTGGTGGTTGTCTGCTGTATTTAGATTTCATTGAATCTGATCCTAAACAGTGTGATTTTAATATTGAATGTTTAAAATGTTAAATGTTAGCACATGCTGTTAGTGTATTTTGCCCCTTTAATAAATATACATGTACATGCATGTGTAATAATATTGAGCATGGTATGAAAAGTCAAGCCTTTGTTGGAAAATACATATACTTTTGGTCTGATTCACACCAGTCTGACTCTTATGTCAATTCATGGCCTGTTAAAATTCAGACCATTCCAAATTTATTTTTCAAATCATGTACATTAATTAATTTTGGTTTAAATTTATTTTTGTTTGATATTTATTTCCTTTCGTCTTTATTTTGTTTTAGAGCATGGTACGTAATGACAGTGCTAGCTAATGACATTAAATTCAAGAGAAAGGAAAACAAAAAATTTGTAATATAAAAAATATATGTTAGTCACAACATGATAATTTAACAGTGTCGGGTTACTGTTTCTTCTAATACTGCTACCATATTTTCAGAGTTTAACATTTGAGTGACTTTCACTGGTGTTCTTTAGTATATTTTTTGTTCCAGGAATTTTTGACATCACCATAATTCATATTCACTGATACTGAATAATATTAGGCACATGTAAGTTTCCGAGTAGCTTCATGTGAACCATTGGTTCATTGATATAAACTGTACATGTAAGCTCTCATTTACCTTCATATGAAGCTTTTGAATCCACTATTCTGAGCTATTTACATATTGCTCTGACTATGAATTTTACAAATTGCATTACTGGGGTTTTTGATATACACAATTTAAACTCAGGGTTGTTGTCTGAGGGTGCATTTGTTGGTTTGTGCTATACAAAGAACACTGTCAATTGGTCTTGTATCTATGATAATACATATATCTTATTATTAACCAAGCGCGAGAACCATACTGGGAAAATCTTGACAGTACAGATCGAGTGCAACGAGGTCCATTCAGAAAAGACTGAGGGCTGACTGAGGGCCGATATTTTACTAACAAATTTGCATGATTTTCGCAATTTCTAAACCCCACTAAAACTAAAATTAAGGGCAGTAGGTGGTATCATATTTTCCATTTTTCCATTATGACAATTAAATTATATATTGCTTTTATTCCGGTTCCACTTGTAATAATAATAATAATAATAATAATATTGATTTATTTGCAGTCTATCCACCAGGTGACTCTTCACCTGCAAAAATCTAATTACAATGTACCATTAAAAACTAAACTATGATAGGTAAAATACAATTCTTTAAAACATATTAAAACACTATACACTATGCAACTATTAACATTAATTGATTTAAAAATAATAAAATAATAATACTACTATAGTACTAAATACTGTTACTGCTACTGCTACTATTGATGGTCCACTCACAACAAAATACGCTAACAACAACTTTTGTGTTTTGCTTCTTTCATGTACCTTGGTTGTTAAAAACTTCATAGATGGAGGAAATTTAACAAATGTACAAAGAGAGAACAGTGCACAGCAAGAAGAAGAAAGGCAACAACTGGTGTCTGAAGAATTCTTGGAGACTGAAACAGCTGACATTCCTGTTGATGAATTACCTCAGTACTTTCAGCATTTACGATTAATTCATAACCCAATGCCAAGAGATGCAAGTGACAATAGTTTACGAATAGCAGTGGAGTGTAACAACCTGGAAAGTCTTGAACGTCTGTGGTCGGACTATCGTTCCGGTCACCTAAATGCAATAGCCGAGAAATTCCTTGTGACAGATGATATTAAGAGGAGATTTGATGTGCAGTCTGTAAATTTAGCAACAACTATTCTGGAAGAAGATTACATGGCGTGCAAAGAGTTTCTCTTGAACAAGCCACGTAAGTTAAAATGACATTTTGTTTTAGTTTATATGAGGCCAGTATTTATTTATTTAATCCACGAGCCTGCGTTGTAAATGAGATGATAAATAGCCAACAAGTGTGTAGGGCAAGTTGGCTATAATCATCTCATAACATTTTTAAACAAATCGCAAGCATGTCAAGGCATGGCTCAGGCCCCAATTATGCAGAAATATTCAAAACATCATAACTTGGTATCACTTTACCAAAACGTTACTAAACTTGGCAAGTACAGTATATCTAAGGCCCGGGTCGCACTTGCGGACAAGTTTTGAAATGTCCCAACATTTTCCAAAAATATTGTCAGGACATGTTGTCAGGGACATCTTGTAGAATAACAAAAGGTTTAGTAACTAGCACAATAGCTTTTCACGTGCTATAAACCTCATGGGACATTCCTCAGCTGTCCTCTGCAAAACAACGACGTGAAATGACAAAATTCTGGGCTTTGGGGAGAACAGCTTTGTCCTTCACAACATTATTAAAATCATGAAGTTGGTTCGACCTGTAATGATTACCACAGAAAATTAATAGAAACAAACGAAAAAAACAATGCATTGTTATTCACATATTTTAAATCCAGTTTGGTGGCGTAAATCATACTATATTTGCACACAGTCCTGGAGGCCGCGGTAAATTTGAATCAAATATATGGCAACACGTGCTTCAAAATGCAAATTTGTTATTCTCAGAGAAAAACACAATGGTTAATCAAGAAAGCATTGTTATCTGGATCACCCGGTGCATGGGGAAGTGGCTTGTCCAGCTCCAGGGCAGGACTACGGCGCTTTTGAAGTTTTGTCCGTTTTGACAAAATTTGTCCTACTCACAACAAGTAGGTCGCACTTGTTTTGCAATTATTGTATCAAACAAATTTCAAAACGTGCACACGTGCGATGCGGGCCAATCATAGGACTGCGGCTTCTTTGTTATTTCATCTTTTTGGACAAGTTGTTCGTCCTGAAAACGTAGGTTGCACTCGTCTTTGCTATAAATGACGCTTAAATTGAAGAAATCCACTAAAGTTACCAAACTTGTCCGCAAGTGCGACCCGGGCCTAAGTTGATGAACTTAATTGATTTTTTGTTTAATAAGTCTAATTTGTAGGTCACGTGACCTGTCGTGACCTGTCTTTGTGCAAAAGAAAGTTTAAAATGGGCCACTGAGATGACATACGATGAATATTGAATACAGTGTTTTTGTAACCGAATGATTGTCTGTTACATGGTTCTGGCTGGAATGCACGACCATGATTTTAAATTACAAAAAATATATATAGATAAAAAACCGAAGGATATCATCAAAATACCAATGCAGTTACGTTTACTTCCAAATTATTTAGAAGTGAATCAGGACTTAACAATGAAGGAAGAGGAATTGTGGCCCGAAGACCAGACTCGAGCTGCTAATGAAACTGTGATCCAGGCCACTGAAGAACCTGAACCAATGATTGTACACCTTGAAGTTAATTGTAAGTGATGACGTTTCACCTCATTTGAGCGATGGAAATTAACTGAACAGGGTTGACGAATTAATACGCTAAAAAGAGACAATGGTAAATATGGATTACCTACTTCTACTACTACTGTGGGAGGTGCTGTGGCCTAATGGTTAGCACATTGGACTCCGGATCGAGCGGTCCGGGTTCGAGCCCTGGCCTGAGTCATTGTGTTGTGTTCTTGGGCAAGATACTTTACTCTCACAGTGCCTCTCTCCACCCAGGAGTTAAATGGGTACTGGTGACAACATGCTGGGGGGTGACCTGCGATGGACTAGCATCCCATCCAGGGGAGTAGCAATACTCCTAGTCAGCTTCATGATAAGCAAACCGGGATAAGGCTCCTATGAGCCACTCATGAATGATAAGGCATAAACTAGAAATTTCTAATAGAAAGCCAACTGCTGCGGATGGAAATTGATAAGCAAGTCAAACAAAAATTATGAACATACATGACTGCCTGATTCCCCATGGCCATAGTGGCTGCAAACATACTGTATATATATGTGCTAATTTGTTGACTAAATTACTCCGTGCTGATGTTTGTGTACATTTTGTGAATACATGCCACCCTTCAAAGTGGTGTTATCATTTATTGGTCTTGAAATCTGAGTACATTTAGCACACAGTGATGCAGTTCTATAAGAAGTGTTCCAAAATTCTTTTTTTCCATATTCCAGTCCTGACTAGTTCCTAAAAATTCAAGATGGCTCCTATTGTTGAAAAGTTCCATCGTTTAAAAGTCCCAAATAAACTTGTCCGTGATTCAGATAAAGATGAACTTTATTCATACAATTAATATAAAGCAAATACAGCATTTAGCGTACTGTAGCGTTTAGCTAGGCTACCAAAATGAATCTCTGCGATAGAAGGCTTGATCGATCGATGGATTCGGATCCGCGTCTTTCTTCCTCTCCTGTAAGTCACGCACGCATGTACAAAATTGGTCGAAATGGGACATGGCTAGCTCTCCTCCTTCATCTCTTCTCAAATTATCCATCCTTCCTCTCAAACTGCTCCTCGATCTACGCCTGCTATCTTGGAAGAGCCGCCGCCATCTCAGTGGATACCCTCTCCTAGGCGTTTTGCTCCACCACCCCCTGCCACTAGCTCCCTACCCTCCCTCCAATGCCGTCCCCATGGGTAAGGCAGGTGACCATTTCATATCGCGGGCTTAACCTCATGAATAATGTGATGCATAAATTAAAATTCATTTCATGCATAAATTAATGTTAACGCCATCGACCGATCGATTGAGTGCTAATTTGCATATTGTTTCACACAGCTATACAGAATGTACTCTTGGAATTATTTAATGTGGGGTTGTCTGCGCTAAACTGCTAAGGTGTAAACTTTGATCAAAACGTGGGTGATCTATCTGCGTTATTACACCTTTTGCTGTTCATTAACAGAAAATATAAATTCATTTGTGTGAATAGTTAGACAGCGTGGAAATATGTTCATTTACACCAAAAGATCATTCATTTACGCAAAAATAACTTCATTAACGATTTTAGCATAAGCAGTAACATTCAATAATATTAACAGACAAACATTTGCATCCTTGGACATTTATTAGCTCAAAATGTACTTTCATTTGCGCAATAATCAACTTCAATAACAGTAATGTGCAAACATTTGTGCCAATTGACAATCATTTTCGTGTATGGAATTTCATTAACGAGTTTTGCATAAACACTCGCATTCTATAGCATTAACAGACAACTATTTTCACAAACGCGACATTCTTTAGTGCGACAATACAAACATTAACGTTGTTATAATGTCCAACAAGGAGAAAGTTATATTCAACTACATGTCTATTAACTGTGTTAGTTAGCCTTCAATTTCCTTTCTATTTAAACATCGTGATAAATATGTCTGCATAAAGCGATGCCATTAGCTCCCGTGATATTTCTGATATTTCGTTGTAATGCTTGCAGCAGTAACTGTGTGCGATAGTCGCCAAGAGAAATTCCTTGCCGTCTTGCCTCTTGTCTATCATTCATCTGTGCCTGTACCTCGGGCCTTGAAATATCTGCTTTAATGGCTGCCTTAAGAGAACTTATTGCTTGCTCAACTATGTTTAAGAACGGGCTATAGGGTGGTAGCATCTTGAGCTCTGTGTTAGGACCGGGGTTTGCTGGGTTGCGGTGGGCTGGCGCTCCATCGTAAATGAAGATTACGTGCTCGTCGGGGTCTAGGTTCAATCTCGCCTGAAGTAAGAAGTCGCTAAATCTTTGTGCATTCATACGCCCAACCATCGCAGAGTGAAAGACAAGGCCGTTCGTTGGTGAAATGGCCATGGTGACTGTTACGTTTCTCCCTCGCTGTCCACAGACCTGCCGGTATGCCCTCTCTCCTCGTCTGGCCCTGCCGTGACTTCTCGCGGTCCAGATTTTTTTTTTTTTTTTTTTTTTTTTAATTCTATTTGCAACACACAAAAACATTACTTACAATCTGATTATTACCCTATTAAAATATATGGTTACTTGCTCTATTTACATTTCATTTGTTACAGTGCTTATAATCCGATTGCTTACACTACTTACAATACAATTATTTACACCACTTACAATACAATTCCTTATACAACTTGCAATACGATTGTTTACACTACTTACAATACAATTACGTGCACTATTTACAATGCAACACTCGCACACTGTTTACCATACAGTTACTTACACTGTTTACTCCTACATGAACATACTTACAAAAACGGATATGACACTACTGAGAAATAAATTATGTTATTGTCTGTATAGGTTAAAGTAATCACACCAAGCTCACTTTACGCTCTACTTTAAGCTGAAAAGTTAATTTGGAAATAAATTCCGCGGTGTCAGCATTCTTTTGCAACGTCTTGCAAACATAAGAGTATTGCTTCGCAAGTAAGAGAAGGAGACGCAAACAGTTTATCTGTTGATTTGATAAGTTAGGGATGGGTGGTAGTAGATTCAGGAAAATTTGTATCGGGCCAAGTTTAACATTTGTTTTATGAAGATCATTAAACCATTTCAGGGATTTTTGGTATAAAGTTATCAATGGTTGACATTCAAGAAATGCATGTTCAATAGAGTCATTCTCGCCGCAGAGAGCACATTGCACTTCATTCGTTATCCCAAAGCAATTTAGTTCCTTATTAGTTACTAGAATTCGATGTAGCAGTTTGAAATAAAATTGTTTTAATTTATTATCACGCGTTGTCTTAAAAGTTGTTTGTATTGAGGTTGTCCATTGATCAGCAATCTCTCCTGAATATTTCCGCCAAGTTTTAATCGCAGTGGGTTCGACATCAATGGATTCCACAAATAATTTATAAAATTGTTTACAGCGCATTTTCCTTAAGTCCAGAGTGATATCTTTAGATAATTGGTATTGATGACTTTCTTCAAGTGAAATAATTTGCCGAATATCCCTATGTTCTGAAGCAGATCGTTTAAGCCATGTTGGGATGGCAGAGGTAATCTGGCAATATTGCAAGAAATTCAAGTTGAGATTATATTTTTCCCTAAACTCTTCTATCAAAAGGAATTTCCCTTGGCTGTTGAGCAAATCTTGAACGAAAACAATATTTTTGGAAAACCACGTCTTCCAATAGAATGATTGGTTTTCGATATGAATGTCTTTGTTGTTCCAAAGGATAAATTCACGTTTTAGTGGATCTACAAAATTACTTCGCAGGTCTAAAAAGAATTGCAAAAGCTCACGATAAAACAAGGGAATTTTGTTGTCCAAGTTCTTAACATTATAGTTACAATTTAATAGAAACAATAGACCTCCATATTTTTCAAAATAATAGTTCGGAATTGCTTTCCAGGTTTCGTTGGTTTTATTGAGGAATCTTGCAATCCAGCTAAGGCGTAATGCTTTAACCGCGAGCCTAAAGCAAGGAAAATGTACACCACCCTTGTCTAGAGGGCGATACAAAACTTGTCTCTTGATCTTGTCTCTCTTATTTTTCCAAAGAAAGGAAAATAGCTTACTTTGGGTTTGCTGTATCACAGATTCAGGAACGGATAGCATAGAAGCGGTGTAAATTAACTGAGACAAACCTATGGATTTTGCAAGCATAGTTCTACCAAAAAGTGTCAAATCCCTAGACAGCCATATATTAAGCTTTGTTTCCATTTTCTTTATTTTAATGAAGAAGTTGTTGTTATTATTCTTTACTTCATCATGAGAGAGGTACGTTCCAAGAAATTTGATAGGATCCTTAGGGCAATTAAATTCTAGAGGTTCAGACTTATTTTTTCTCGAGGCACCAATCCACATAGCTTTTGTTTTATTTTTGTTTAGCCGCAATCCCGAGATTGAACCAAAGGTGTTAACAATATTCATAGCTTCTCTTAATGACCCGGTATTGTCAACAATTAGGGTTGTATCGTCAGCAAATTGCGAAATCTTAGCGCGGTCCAGATGTTATAACCACACTCGTCTACAAAGACGCTATGGTTCACCACAGCATGGCCCATGAACCAGTTGGCGTAGTCTACCCGTTTCTGTATAACATCTGGTCTGTTTCTATCAGCTGGGACGGGCCTGGCCAGTTTCACCCGAAACAGCATTCCCTCTAGCGTCCTCGCCACTGTGCGGTCATGGATCCTCGGTTTTGCAGGGAGGCGTACTCTAAGCTCGTGGTTTATCTGGGCTAGTGTTAATAGACAGTTCTCGTTTAAAATGACATTGAGGCAGTCCCTCATCTCGTTATCAACTCTGACGTTGTTTCTGCCTCCCCGTGGTCTTTCTGCGATTCTTCCTTCTCAGATGTACCAAGCTACAATACTTCTTGCTGTTGACTTGTTGTCTCCTAAGGTGTCCGCCATCAGTATGTAATCTTCGGTTTGATCTTCAAACGCCCTGATGATTCTTTCACGGTGTTCAAGCGGTATCCTGTTTCTTGGAGGCATATCTGTTTCAAACTGACTTGCAAAACTGGTACGCCTATTGCATCTCTTTCTGACAAAATGATTGAATGTGCAATACAGCACTTTTATAGGTAAACCTCCCTTCTTCTAAATGCAACATTCTCTCGTGAACACTTTTCCAAAAAATCCCTTGAAATTCTGTTGCGCTATTGAAAAACTGTATTTCCTTATTGTGTGTTGAAAACGTGTTAATGTTTGTATTGTCGCACTAAAGAATGTCGCGTTTGTGAAAATAG